ATTTATTTTATTATTATTCCAAAAATTGCAGCATTGGATGTTACATATGATAATAATATATGTATTTAAGGCACACTTTTCCAGTCTCACTGACCTCTGACCTCTGACCTCCTCTGATGCTAATATTAAAAAAAAAATCATGTGCGTAAAAAAATGAAGTAATAGAGAAATCACACGCTGTCGCTGTTTCACACTTTAGACTCACATGATTACATCTCACCTACACAAAGCCTGTAAGTCATGAATGACGGACACACAATCAGAGCTACACACACACACACACAATCAGAGCTACACACACACGTGTTCATGATAAAAACTGGTCTCTGAGCAGACGTCAGCACTGAGCTTTATTTGAGTACAGAAAGGAAACATTTATATTTGGACTTGATTGTGTTTAACGTTCTTGTGCGTGCCTCGACACGACCACAGTGGATTTAAACCAATCAGCATGAACTGTTTAGGAACCCCAGCCTGTCCATCGTCTCATGTCCAAAGGCCATGAAGAGGCTGCTCAGACTGTCCTCTTTTCACTGCTCATCTAACGACACCCTCGCGATCGGGCGTGAAGTCTTTCAGGAGTCACCGTGTAGAGACGACCATATTTCCTTATGTGCGACTCCCTCAGACTCTTTTCTGTTAACTCTCTTTGTCATCAGACTTCCTTCTACCATCTGTTACCACCAGCTCGACAGACTTTCTTTGCCGCAGAGTAAATATCGTGGTGGGCCATAAAGCGAGCGGCTCATTTACTGCTCGGGGTCCAAATGTTTGACGTAGTTGCTGGCTGTCTGTGCAGCCTCCACGACTGCCATTCTGCTTTATAGAAACAGCTGAGCATCCAAACACAGTTTAATGCTTTTGGAGTGACATCTGTGATCAGTCATATTCCTCTAAAAACACAGCTAACGCTACATTAATTAGCTTGTTTGGTTCTGACGTGATATTGCAGTGATCCACTTTGCTGCACGTTACTTTCAAGTATCTTTTGGTTCTCTGCAAATCATTTTATTTGCAATGCATGAGGCCAGATCTGCTCTTCTGTTCACTTATTGACAGTCAGGCTTGTCGGGTGAGGTCTTTCTAAGAGGACGTTTTTCTGGCTCTGACCTGCAGCATTCAGCTTGCATGGCCCATTAAACACTGCCCTTCATACTAATGCTCACCAGCGCAGCCAATGCAACATACTCAACAGCCATGCTGGAGACATAACAGAGGCCCGGTGCAGACTGGTGTCTTTACTGCACAGAAATCCAATTTCAACTCGCTTCTTTGTACGACTGATGAGAAATAGTCGGAGCACCTCTTCGACCTAAACGTCTCTGTTAATGTGGTGGAGCGTCTGCTTCCTAACAGCAGCTCAGGAGGTGGATGTATGAAACACAGTGCCCCTGCATTTCTGTGACTTCCTCCACACACAGGTAATCCAATTTGACCTGTGTGCATTACATCTCCTCACAACTCTGGGACATCTGAGCAGAGGCAGCAGGCTGGAGTCAGTGCTACACAGACACTAGGTCCCACGTCATCACGGTTCAGCGCTTCCAGCTGATCCGACTCGAGCGTTAGCTTCAACGGGCCATGGGAAAATTCAGTTATGAGGTTCCTGTCAGCATGTGTCTGTCTTCAAAAGACACACGATCACATTTAAAGTCTCGCTGCGATGTAATGTCTCTGTTCTCTGCTCAGCTGGATAAAAATCATTTTAAGCATTTAAAAGTTCAGTTTCAAAGGTTTTATAAGAACTCGGTGTTCCTGTAGCGTCTGTTTGCTGTCCCAGGAGCCGGCCACACCGGCAGCTTCGCTCTGCTGGTTTTTTGGGTGTGTGTTTCTAACAGCGACGACTCTTAAATGTGCTGCATTGTTTGTGAGCTTCTACTTGCTGTAACTGCTGTTCCAGCTGAAGTGTGGAGTAATACTGAGTGTTCAGGAGGTTTTGATCTGACCCACCATGTTCATGAAATCTAGCCTGCTAACATCCCACAAGCTGTACCTGCTTGGGACGGTGTTCCTGCCATTGCCTGTTTTATTTCGTCTGCTTGGTTGATATCTTAGTTATCTCTGTTTTAACCACCAGGTTTCTTCCCGTCTGTACGTACACGTGTGCAGCTGCAGGGCAACTCACAAAGAAGCTGCAAGCAAAGGTGACGGCAATAACAGCATCGTCCTCAGAGAGGAGCGTTTGATGATGATGATTACTGTTAATGCTTTACAGTCACTGTGATTCCAGATTTTTGTCATGTATGTTTTCACATTTCTTCCTTGCTGTTTGATAATAAGGTGCATTAAAGCTAGGCTGTAACTGTAGTTGGGTTTTTGCAGGGTTAACCTCTCTGTTTGGTGAAATCTGACTGTATGTGAGGACTAAGAGAAAAACGTCAGCATGCACTGAGCCTCAGGGAATACATGCATGAAAAACATGCAGTTAATGGTTCCCTATAGTTCCACATGTCGTCATCGCTGGGCCGGTGTCTTCTGTGACAGTCTCAATATGTCTCACGACTAACATGACGTCATTCCTGACACATCTCAAACACAAAATGCAGGGACATGAAGTGTGTCCACGGACAGACGCTGAGGAGCTGGATCGTGTTTTGTCAGCAGCATCTTTAACTTTGATTTTGACGGCTGCTTATTTAGTGTTTTTTACGAGTTTGCCACCTATCTGCAAACAGCATGCTTAATATTAATGTACATTTGTGTTGTCCCAGGATAAAAGACTCTAATGGATGTTTGATGCAATGCTTACACTGAATGTTTCAGCAGGTCCGTTGCGTTCGGTAATGAAAGCTTGATGCCTCCTGAACACACACGAGTGGCAAAAAAGGAACAACCTGTCCCACAGGCCGATTAATCACAGAGCAGGAAAGGCTGTGGTGCTAACGGGGCAGTCTGTGCCCGCTCTGCATGTGGATAAGTGTGGGAGGCAGTCAGCCACCGACGAGCTCAGAGCTCCTCGTTCTCTGTGTGTCGTGTAAATCCAACAAAGCTCCACCAGCAGAAAATCAATTTGCACTTCATCACTTCCTATTAATCAATGCAAGAAATGTTCACCGTGGCTTTAATTACACAGAATCCTTTTACTTTATTTTCAAAGAATAAACGACGTGATGTTGTTAAGAAGAAGCACCTGTGTCTATGTTAAAACACTTTGTGTATTCTGCGTATGTCTGTGTTCCTCGCCGTGACCTGATGGATGAAATTCAACAAAAAGTTCAATTATCTTCGTCACTATTTGAGCCACACTGTTCGGTGAAATCAGCGGCTTTTAGCTTTTGCAAGCATCGCATTCAAGTCTGTAAATTAGTCGATTCAACTCGTATTTAAAATAATTGGAGAATATAATTTAATGTAATAAAATGATGCAGCTACAAAAGAAGATGTTGGAAGATGTCCTGCGTATCATGTAGCATGAATGTGTTAGAAAACCACACGTGGTTCCTTTGTTGTGTGTCTGAGCACAGAGTTAAAGTGTGTGAATATGATTCTTTATAACAGAAATAATAAGTGTAATTTCACAAAAATCACACCATCAGTACATCACACACAGGAAGCTCATCGCTGCTGTTAATGTCTGTGAATGTTTACGCTGTCATTCTGCTACACACTGCCCACTCCCTTAAACTTGAAGGCCATTCATAAATCCGTTCTGTGCAGCAGGTCTGTGCCAACTCTCTGCACACACGACCCTCACGCCAAATTTCTGGTTACTCTGCAAATAAGAGTCAGAAGAGCAGAGCAGGGAGAAACAGCGAGTCTCCAACAGGTGGGGATGGAGCAGCATCGTTTATGGGGTGAAAACACAGCAGTGAAACTTTTGAACAGACGACAGAAAAGAAGCAGCTTACCAAATCTCAGCACATGTGGCATCCCGTGTAAAAGCCCCACACAGTGTGTTAGCAGCAGTAGGAGCTTGACGGTGCACCTGAGCCTGGCTCTAAATATCAGGTGGGGGATCTTCATGGTGCTTGTTTGGTGCGCTGGGTTTAAATCCCTGGATCGTATATTCCTCTGTCTTGTTTTCTCTTTAACCCCTACGACGTGAATTCAGGCAGCTGTAAGATCAAGGCATGATCTTCACCAGCGGGCTGAGCAGCGGCTTTCCCACATCCATTTGGCAAGAGGGGAAAAAATCAGTACGAGTCCAGCTCACTGCGCCAAGAAGAAAAAGCCCCCAGCTGAGGAAGAGGATGGTGAATGTGGAGGTGTCGGGGCATCCATGCTAGGCAGGGGAATCCATTTACTGAAAGACAAAGGAAGAGATAGAAGAGGGTGAGAGTTGGGGCTGGGGGAGGGGGTGGGGGGTTACCGAAGTGACAAAGTGAGAGTGAAAGACAGAGAAGCGGTGTGAGCCTCCCCAGTCCGAGCTCCTCCCGCTGCACTGCCGCACAGCATCTGACGTCGAGCGCATAGGATGGACAGGGTATACTGCTGCTCACACTTCACTCGTGGATCTGTGTCCCCTACCAAAGTGCCGTACCTCCCGCACTCCTGTCCCTGCTGTATCCCCGGCCAGCTCGCCCGCCGCCGCGCTGACGTTTCTCCGCTTCGGCTCAATCTCCGTCGGCCGTCGTGCGCAGCCCCGTAAAAGCCGAGCCATGAATTCGAAATGATCGCCAGTGTTTGATCGAAGTCATTCAAGCACGGACTGCGTGGGCTCCGTGTGTGAAGCTAAGCTGTCACTGTAACTCAGCGTGATGAATAGGCTGCGCTCGGCGCGCCGGTGTGCCAGCTTCTGTCTCTGGAATTACTTTTGCTTTTTTGAAATTCATTCTTCTCAGACCGAGACTGGGCAACCTGTTAGACACGAGCCTCCAGATCACATTTACATTTCATGTGTTTCGTGCCTGACTCTGGAGGCTCTGTCGCTTTATAGCAGCGCAGAATTACTGGAGGTGAAGTCCGTGTGACTGTAACGCTCTCTGTGAGGAAGCCATTTAGAAATGAAACATTTTAACAAGAGTCACCGGATTTTTAGGCAAAAAAGCCCCAAAAACTAAATGTATTTGTTCCCAAAATTTCAGTCAGAATTTCAGTCCTATTAATGAGCTGCATCATTTCCCAAACTTATAGATCATAAACTTCGTAACGCAGACGCGTGAAGGTGTGCGGAAGTGGGGATAATTTAAAATGCATTAAATAAAATATCTTGGCTCCAATCACAGCTGCCAACTACTGAAAATACAAGGTAAATAATAATGATGACGGAGTGCTAACACGGACTTTCTCCGTGGGCTTTAGGCCACGCTGTCCGCATTTTAGTCTCGCTTTGAGTTTTCCACGGCGCAGACACGCCTGTGCTTCACATCCAGCTTTTCATTGCGGCTCTTTCAGCACCTGAACAGAGAATATGTTTTAAAGCAGGAGACACCCCGCGTGTGTTTCAGCACCACGAACAGAGGCTTGATTTCACTCCGAGGCTCCAGCAGGAGATGGCTTTCACATATGCTCCCGTGATGATGCCAGCTCCCTCTGCTCGCTGGCCTCCTTAATGAGCAGAGATGTTCTGTTTGGACTGATGATCCACAGTTTGGGTGATCTTGTTACTCCTAAGCTGACTCCATATTTGCAATCATTTGTTGTAGGCAACACAAAAACTACTGCTGTGCCCGCCGTTTATAGACACGCAGGTGGGTGTGCAGAAGGTAAATGTAAAACGATTCTGGGGCCATTACACCTCACCTGTCACACCGAATAATGATATTACTACTGTATCACTATTGGCTGTTATTGTAACATTGTTTCTCATTTCATCCTCAGATTTCACAGGACGTTACTATGTTACTAAATCAAAAGGAGATTACAACCTCGAGTTAAAAGCTGGACACAAAGAAGAAAAACAAGAGGCAGCTTTGCAAACTAACGTAGAGACGTGCTGGTGGACCGTACAGGTAAAAACGACCTCACACTTGGCACCAGCACACAGACTCATCCGGATGTCTCCTCTTTTCACAGACAGACTTACAGGTCAACAAATGTCCCTTTGTGCGTTTGGAAAGGGCGTAAAGAGCGCATGAGGGAGCCTCTCCGCCGGCAGCACTGCCCGATGATAAAGTTGATTTACAGCAAATGCGCTCGTGGGTTTCAAATGCGCGGCTCATCTCGTGAGTTTCCATCAAACCGCGCGAACTAGAGACGTTATTTACGGATCATTCATAAAGTGGATCATGGTGGAAATTTAACGACCCTTGTAATGTCTTACGAGCCCACAGCAGTGAGAGCACCAGGCCGAGGACGAGGAGAAAGAGGAGGAGGTAGCCGTACGGTGACAAGCGCCTCTACACAGAGGTCGTGCATAAACATGGGAGGTCACTTTCCTGCAGAGTTTCTGAAGCACAAATCCGAGCCGTGTTTGAGACATCGTTGTTTCTAAAGGTGTCTGGATAAAGTGCACGGAGCAACTTCAAACCGCGCCTGAGGCGTCAGCGGCGCAGGTTGGAAAACGACGCGAAAAAGCTTCTACCTGCTCTGATGTGTTTCCACAAGAGCTGACCTGCTCCTGAACAAATCCAGAGGGTCGCGTTTAAGCGTGAAATAAGTGTAAAGTTTGGAGGAAAAAGCGTGCCTACCTTAGACAGAGCAGAGCAGAGGAGAGTCATCAAAGCAGCACAAAGAAGTTGATTTGTTTCTATGGAGGAACCGCGTCGCTTCCCCCGCGCTCTCATCTGGTAGCGCTGAGCTCCGGCCGTAGGGGAGACACGCCTCCTGTCGGACGGCAGGACGCACTGCTTAAAGCAACAGGGGGACGCTCCGGACTCACCGACACCGAGTCTGCAGCTTCCCCAGCGGGGCGACTGCCTGTCAGCTCAGACTGAGGCTCCGATCCTTTAGATGCCCATATGAACAAAACCGCACTGATCTACCTGCACCTTACAGTTTGGGGCTGTGGCAGTGACCACAGGACTCGGTAAGCCTGATCCCGTAGATCGCTTAAATGCCACGAGGCTGAATAAATGCGCATCACAATGGGATGAAGATTGCCTTCATTAAGTGTCTTTATTCTCCCGCAGGTATCGTTTCACGCAGCAGTGTGCAGTTGGATCTCAAACTGTGACAGTAAGGTTTCCAAAAGAATTTAAAGCAGGGATTTTCTACCGCCGGGCCTCGCTGCTGCAGAGCCCCGAGTTTAGTGGATTCATACCGAGCTTGGTGGACCCAGCTGACTGCTTCAGTCCGGTCACATATCTGCACTTCAAATGTGGAAAATACTCCGTAAATTACATTTTATTGTTAAAAACAAACAGTGTTTGGTGGTTAAAAAAGTAGAAGTTTTGCTAAGAGTAGCATGTGGCTTTTGTAGAACTTAATGCGAGAGAGGACACAATTAATTTTGCATTTGTGTTTCATGTGGAAAGAACACAATGAAGCCTCCTGTCAGTTCTATAAACTGAAGGCAGAGGGTCGTTTTTTATTACATTAAATATACAAACTGCAGTGCTGAGAGT